CATTCACATACGAGGACAAGGACATATGCAAATATTTTATTATACTTTTATCAAAGACGTGGAGTGACGGGGCAAAGCAGATGGCTTTAAAGTGAGGTACTAGGAAGAAGCTTCCCTGTGAGGGGGAGAAGCTGTGGTTGCCCTACCCCTGGRAGGACAGGGTGGCAGACAGCCTGGCTGTCACACAGATGTCCCTGCAGTGTGTCAGGGCTGCAGCTGCCACTGCACCAGGTGGGGCTGGGGGSCTACAGCAGCCCCCCACAGTTGTTCAGCTTCACACTGGGGATATTCAGCTCTGGGCAGGGAGGGGAAGGGAGCAGAGGCAGCTGCTGTGGACAGAAACGGGTTTTACACGGTACCAGCCTCAGCTGTTTGGGACCGTGCTGAGCTGGTCACAGAGGAACAGGCTCAGCAAACAGCCTCACAAAGAGCCAGATGGCGAAACAGGTATTGCAGCCAGGGGTGGGACAGCAGAAGGTGATTCCCAGCTCATCCCMAACCCACTGGGCTGACACTTCCTGGGGAATCCTCCATGCCAGTCCTCATTTTGGCCRGGACCAGAGGTAGAACTCTGCTGGCTTCCTCTTTTCCTGGTTGCCAGCAGCACAAAAAGGAAATTACAGCTCCCAAAGGGCACAAATTCAGCAGACACAGAGCTGGCAGCCGCCCCAAATGTCCAACCCTGGCTGTGYCACCCTCCCTAAGCACACAGGGAACGACTCCCCATCCTCTGGGCTCTGGAGCTTGAGGGGATTCAGACATGTGAAGTGACACGTGTTGGGCTCAAAAACACTTGTGACAGCATSTGGGACCGGGACAGGCTGGGATGGGCTGTCAGGGATGGATCCCTTCCCACACCAAGCTCTGATTCTCTCTGCAATCGCTTCTCATAAATCCCCAGATCCAAAGATAAGGGCCTTAATTTACCAGGGTGGATCCCMTCGTCATCAAAATATATAAGGCAACAGGATTTCCTCTCACTCCCCTCACCCCTGGGGAACAGAAGACACTGGCAAACACAGCAGTGGGAGCAAGGTCGCAAACCAAAAGTGCTGGAGCATGTTTCTCTGCCACGATTTTTCTTGGAAAAAAGAGTGGCTGCATGTTTGCACAGGCGAGAATTCCTCCCCACTGGGAACAGCTAATGAAAACCTTCACCTCGAAGACACGTTTTGCCACGGAGCCCTCCAGCCCCGTGGCGTGCCAGCAGGGCTGGCTGCAGATGGAAATGGTTTTTGTGTTCTTCCAAGGGAGAACCAACGAGACCACGAGGCAGGSTGGTGTGTACAAGAGGGTCCCAGAGAGTCACGGGGGGCTGAACCAGCCTGGCTCTGTGTCTCCAGCTCCCCCAAAGTATTCCCCAGCTGCACAAGCTGCTCTTTGTTTGCTAGGAAAGGGCAAAGCCTCCTCCCAGCCAAAGCATTCCCTCCCTGGCAGAGATTCCAGGAGGCAGACGGGGGAACAGCCCCGGAGCCTGAGGTTTCACCCCACGCAAAATGTTCCAGGCTCATCGCTGCCGAGGCAAGCGCCTGGCCTCACGGTGGCAATGAGCYTTAACTCTTTTTCCTCCCCTTTTTTTCAGCTAAATGGGTTTCATTTACCTGCTCCTGCCTGGAGCAGGGACATTGCTGAACAAAGCATGGGGYAAAACCCCGCTGGGCTGGGGAAGGGTTGTGGGGTTCATCTCCTGGCACCCCACTGCTGCCTCTGCTGCTCTACCCTCGGCTGYGCTTTCTCTCTCCCCAACAACGTTTGGGAAATAGGAGATTTGTCCTCATTAGGGCCAGGGATGAGATCTGGGCCCCGGGAGGAAGAGGCGCTGCCAAGGCACTGGCTTAATCCAGTTAGGRGCTGCAATTCAGGAAGGCATCGCTCATCTGCCGTGGTTCTAATGAGGACTGGTTCCTGTCTTGGAGAAGGGAGCTGGMCACTGCATGGCCACCACATGGCCACAGCACAGCCACTCCCTGCCCATGGAGTGGGCACTGAATTCCTCAGGGGTTTCTCCCTTGGAAGGTGTCCAAGGGACCAGGCAGAGCATCTCTSCAGCTCTGGTGCCATGCTGGAGAGCAGGTGTCCTCTAAAAACAGGGACAGGAGCTCGAGGACAGCAGGGACAGGGGCGTTTCAGCATTTCAGACTAATGCTATCTCTCCCTGTGGCCTGGGAGGGGATGATGCCGGTGYTGCCAGCACTCCTGAGTCACCAGCCACCGTCACCGCACCCTCTCCTTTGCCTCAAGCGTGGCTCCAGCACTGCCAGAGGAGCAATGGGGACACGTGTGGCACTGGGACAGTCAGGACTGCCCAGAAGGGTCCCTTGTCACAGGGCACAACCAGTGCAGGCTGCACAGGGCTGAGTGTCCCCGTGCAAAGTGAGTGCACAGGGCTGAGTGTCCCCTGAACACTTTGGGTGTTCACTTTGGGTGAACACTTTGGGAAACCTCTCCTGGATCACCCCTGGAAGCAGATCCAGCCCAAAGGGACGAGGGGTGGCAGGAGGCAGAGGGCACACAGCCGCCTGCACTCTCACCCCAGCTCTGCCCAGACCCTCCTCCACTCGTGCSTCGGTACTGGTTAGACTGGTCTCCTGTCGGCACACCCTGTCCCCCTCAGTCAGCACCTTTTTTCCCCACCCCAGACAGAGCACCCAGCACCCGGKACCATGTCCCATCCACCCACATCATGCCCTGGCACCCCGGCCCCCCACCCTCCCTCTGTGCTGGTGAGACAACCCCTGGTCCGGGCAGYGGCGATGCTGCGGGCGCTGATAACGCGGCCCCCGGGCGCCTGCCCCGCGGGAGATACCCGGCACTTCCCCAGGCCTGACGGGCACAGCSAGGCGTGCAGAGGGCTGCCAGTTAGTTACTCATTAGCCAAACTGTCACTGTGGCAAGGACAGTGAGGTGGCTCCAGCCTAGGTGCTGACCCAAAGGCTCAGGGTGGGTGGGGAAAGCCGGCAGAGCGGGCACATCCCCGGCRGGGAGCAGAACAGCGTCCGAACGGCTCCTTCCTGATCGTCCCAACAGCTCTGAGCCCTCTGCAGGGTGGGGCTCGTGGCTGCTATTCCCTCATCCCCGAAACATTCGGGACACCGAATSAAACTGAGCCCAAGGAGCAGCATCGCAGCTCAGCAGCCGCCCGCGCTCCTGTCTGAGCGGCCCTGCCACACCGAGCGGGTCCCCGGGCACACACAACGAGCTGCAGCCCCCTTGTGAGGGTTTTGGGGGCTGGAGAGCAGCCCTGATACCGCGCCCTAGGAACAGGGGACGCGCCAGAGGCAGGAATGAACAGCTCCGGCTTCCCCCGCATCTCCGCTCTTTCGTGAGACCGTGACTCAGTGATGACTCAACACGGAAACTCCCCGATCCCCCAGAGCCCCGCGCACCCACCGCTCTCCAAAACCCGCCGAAACCCATCTCCTGACAAGAAGCTGCTGTTTGGGAACCCCCGAGAGTCACAGCACTTTTTCAGGGGATGTGTCAACGTTCGGGAACAAGCACAGAAAGCTCCCGGAGCGCAGCCCATCGCAGGGAAAATTCCACATCCATTTTCCGCACGGCCAGCTCCGCAGCGCAGCCAGCTCCCAGCTCCCCTCCCAGCCACGGCTGCGGGCCGGGCATTTTTTCCAGCCCTCGAAAGATCGCGGCCAAGATAGTTCTGGGTTTGCATAAGGCACACAAAGCTTTTAGACAGCTCCACTCCTCCTCTCACCAGCGTCCGGATCCTCGGGATCCGAGAGCAGGGGTTTGGCGAGCAGCAAAGCCGCCTTGTCCGAGGAGGGAGCTGCAGCAGCGCACGGGAAATAGAAAGCTAAATATAACCGCACACGGCTTTSGGAGACAGCTGTAACAGGCAGCACATTCCCCCCGCTATAACCCCCCCAGGTAGAATATTTATGGCATTGACCAAGGAAGTTAATTTTAGCCTCATTTGGTACAGGCTCAAAACCAGGCGTCTAGAATAAGGGGCGAAAGATCAGAGGGAGGAAGAGGGGGCTGTCCCGCCACTGCCCAGCCCGGACCCGGCTGCGAGCCAAAGCCGATGACGGAAAGGGATCCGCTCGCTCCTCCCGTGGAGCGCGATTCGGGGAAGCGAGTGTTACAGGAACACGTCCCGAAGCGGCACGGGCTGGCAGAGCCCGGGGGAAGCCCAGTGCCAGCCCCTGCCTGGCCAGCAGTGACATTGGCCAGGGAGCCTCGTGTCCCCAGGAAGCCGCATCCTCACGGGACCTATGCTGGTGACAGCCCTGAGGAAAGGAGGGCACAAGTGCCCAGTGGCAGCAGGGAGGGGTCCACGAGGGGGGCATTTCTGATTGCAGGGAGGGAAGGAAATGAACCCAAGGGGAAGCGAGGAGGAATTCGAGCTTCCATGAGGGCTGGGAGCACATCACCCAGTGACAGCTGGTGGGAGGGGGACACGGGTRCTGCCCGCACAGCGCTTCCCCAAAAGCCAGGGACCCCACAGAGTGGGAGCAGCTCGGCACAGGGAGAGTTAAGACAAACAAAACCTGGAGCAGGTTCTTTAGCCGGTGCCAAAGACAGCAAAGGAAAATAGGACGAGCAGGCGAGATCTGTGGGCAGGACAGAGCCAGCTGGCTGGCACGGCTTCCCAGGCTGTGCCGGAGCGTGTTTAGGAATAGCTCCAGAATGACGAAGGCAGAGGGCCGCCAGCCCGGCGCTTGCGCCCCGCGTAACACGGACCCTTCTGGGGGCCCAGGGCATGTCTGCTCAGCCCCAGCCCCAAAAATCCCCAGCCCTGCTCCCAAATCCCCGCTCCAAGGGCATCCCGGCCAAAGATGGCGCTTGGAGGGAGAGCGGGAATGACGAGAGAACTCCTGTCCTCACTCGCTCCCCACCACAGACACTCCTGTCCCGGCCAGGCCACGGATTTTTCCTCTCCCTGCCTCCTCCAGGTCGCTCCTTCCTCCCTCCCGGCTCYCTGCCAAGCATGACGACAGCACCCGTCCCGCTGCGGTCCCCGCCATCCCCAGGGCACTCACCGGGCTTTCAGCTCCTTGTGCTCCTCCCGGACTTTGCTGAGCTCCAGCTGCAGCCGGGCTCTCTCCTTGGCCACCGAATCCAAGGTCTTGCGGGCGTCCGCCAGCTCCGACTCGTAGGCAGCCTTGATGCCCGACACCTCGCGGCTCACCACCTCCTCGGACTCGGTGATGCGGAGCCGCAGGCCGGCGTTCTCCAGCTCCAGCGAGCGCACCTTGTCGATGTACACGGCCAAGCGGTCATTGAGCTCCTGCAGGTCCTCCTTCTCCTGCAGCCGGGTGATCCGGGTCGGGGACAAGGGGGTCCCCGAAGCCCCACCGCGGGTGCTCCTTTTCTGCGAAGGCGTCGCCATGGGGTCCGGCGTCGAGGCGAAGGACACGGCACAGGTCACGGCGCGATGTCCCACGCCACCCGCCCAGCTGTCGCGGCAGCTCCTGTTGCCTGAGTGACTTGCTTATATCCCAGCCGGGCTGCTCACTGAGAGGAGGAGCTGAGAGGCGGCGGCGGGTGGAGTTATCCAAAACCTGGGTGGAGACAACTCGCATCAGTCCCAGCCCTTCCTTGGGAAAACTTGGGAAAGCATCCCCGGGTAAAGAGGCGTCTCTGGGGGCACAGTCCGGGGGCACCCCCTCCCACACCCTTTTCTAGGGCGATTCCCCCGACAGAGGATGGAYTGCAGACTTGGCCAGGGGAAAGTGCACCCTGAAAGAGGCTGCMGTAATGGGGTGTAGCCAGGCACCCCCAGGACAGGACAGGCAGCATCCCTGGCACACCCTGAGTGCAGGAGTCACAGGGGTACCCGAAACTCTGGGGACCCAAATACAGTTCCAGGTCACCCAAAACACCCTGTTCTGGGTTCCCCTGGATYCTGAGGCATCCCAAACACAGAGCTCTGGGGCACTAAAGAAAGCCCCCACCGACCTGCCCACCTCTCCACTAGCTTTGACAAATTCTCTCAGCACTGATTGTCCCCTTTTCCAGCTCTTCCCAGTGACAGCTTCGTAACTCCCCAAATTCTGAGCCCCCACCCCCATTCCTTGCACCAGCTGTTTCCTGATCTCCCACCTCTCACTTCCAGCCCCTCCTAGTGCCACTCAACCACCCTTCCAGTATCTCCAGCTCCCAGCAGGGGTGATTCCCCGTCCTCCCAGCACGTGTAGATGTTCTGTCTCCCCCGAAGTGATGCCAGCAGCTCGGGATTTCCAGATCTGCCAAATGCTCCCAGACACCCCCAGAACTACCACAAACGGGGTTGTCCCCTCCYTGCACTTCATCCCCCTCCCCACSTTGTGCTGCAGAKCCAARCCCTCCCGTGYGCGAGAAATGGGAATAAAATTAYAATAGGAATGGAAAAGCAACCCTTTTACCCTAGAAATGAAAGGTGGGCGGGGGCTCTAGGGGCTCCAGCTTCCTCCTTGAGAGCTCCTGCTTGRAAAGCTGGGCTCTGCGGCAAGGAAAGCTGGAAAGGCAGCGTCTGGGAACGCAGGCGAGAGCGCCGGAGCACCCCAAAGCACAACCTCCCCCAAGCATTCCCTGAGAACAGAGGGGTCCAAGGTCAAGGGCACAGCCAAGCCGAGCCGCCTCCCGAGCCGCGGCTCCTCCTGCAATCCAAGCTCAATTTGCTTCCCAGCTCAGGGAGCGCGGCGGAGGCCCAGGCAGGCTGAGAATGACTCACACAGCAACGGAGCAACACACGCAAAACACACGGAGCACACACACAGGACACACGCGTGTGCTTCCCCTCCGTCAATGATTAATTAACCCGCTGGCAGCCGCTCCGTCCCGCCTGCCGAGCACGGTAGCAGGGTAGAGAAGGGACCCCGGCAATTATCCAGGGTCAAACTTTCAAAAAGTAATAGTTCCGTGCCGGGAATCTGCCCCGGCGCCACGTCAGAGACGGGAGGGGAAAGCGGGGAAAGGGGGGGAAAGGAGGGGAAAGGAGGGGGAAAAGGGGGGGCAGCTGGGCACAGCCCTCCTGGCACTGCCACGGGGACGGGGTGGGGAGGGGGTTGGAGTGCGTTCTGCTCCCCCCGGCCTCGCTACACCCCCTTCCCCACCCCGGCTCGCAGGAGAGCCCTCTCTGCATGGAGAAGCCGCCACAAGCGCTGTAGGCGAGGGGTCACTGTACCCCCACCCATCCCTGCAGCACCCCTTTGTTCCGTCCCAAATTCCCCCTTTCCTGCCTCTTTGCCTGTCCCGGGTTGTTTTTCCTTCCCCACACCCTTCCTCCCTCCTCCCATGCGCGCAGSGGGGACACCGCCGCCCTGGGAACCCCAGCGGGTGTCACACACCAAGGCAGGCGACAGCGTGCGGGACAATGTGGCCCGGCCATGGGGTAGGGAACAGATAGGGATGGCAATCCCGGCCCCCCGAAGGCACCGGGCCGAGCGCGGCTGCGGAAGGCGGGTCCCGGTGGCGCTCGGTGCGGTGGCGGTGGCGCTCGGTGCGGTGGCGTTTGCCAAAGCGCGGGGCACTGTGGGACGAGCGGAGCCGCCCGCCACTGCGCGGCTCTGTTTTGGTTTAAAAAGTAACCCTTGTGTGGGAGGGAAAGAATTCGTCCGTTTGGCCTGAGGGCGCTCCCTGAGCGGGAGGTGCCTGCCAGGGTCCGGAGCATCCGCGGGGACATGGACCAGAGCAATCCCAGGGACACGAAMTGCGGGGCTGAAACTTCCTTGCCTTAATGTGGGAAACAGCATCAAGGGTAAAGGGAGGAAGGGACGAGCTTGGGCAATAGCTGGAAATCGCAGCTAAGGGTCACCGGCACAGCCTGTCGCTGCTCTGGCACTCCTGGCACCTCCTGGCTCCTCATGCTCCTCATGCTCCTCATGAGCGGGATCCCGGCTCAATCTCCTGCCCGGAGGATCAAACCTGAGGGCTCTCTCGGGCTGGGTGAGCAGGACAGGACAAGATCTGGGGGATCCTGCTGGCTCTGCAGCCCCAGGGGTTGCTGACAGCCTGAAGAGCCCTTAGGGAGGGTCAGACCAGCTCCTCTGCAGAGCTGCTCCAGACAAAACCTGCCCTCACACTGCCCCTCACCCTGGACACAGATAGCTGCTCTGCTTTCCCACCAGCCCCCAGGGACAGGAACATCCCAACCCAACCTGGGGATGGGGAGCTCACTGCCAGCACAGCCCCGAGCTGGTCATGGCTCTGGCAAAGAGCACCCGGCTCTTGCGCAAGGAACGAGGGTTTAATTCAAACCACAAGAGCCAGGAGGGACAGGCTGTGCTCCACAGCTCTGTGCTTCAGCCACAAACATGGATTTCTCCAGGTTCCACGGGCACCGAGGGATCTCAGGGTGCAGAACGTTGTAATGGAGGGGTGAGGAGGAGGCTGAGGCTTGAGGAGAGGCTCTCAGCAAAGGCTGAATCTTCCTTCCGTGACTCAAAAAGCAGAAAGCAGCTGCATCCCTGGAATTTCAACGCCCTTCCAGCKCTTTAGGCTCCAAAAGAAGCCCAGTTTTGGGGCCTATAAATGTGGTACAAATGACTTGTGGGCAGTGATGGAGCTGGGGTTGGGAGCGTTGAGAGGAGCTGCGACTCCAGGGATCCCCTCCCTGGCATGGAGGGGCGCAGGAAGGGGATGTGCCATGGGGCCAGGCACTGCTCCTGGSTGGCTCTTCTGGTGGCTTTTCAGCTCTTTTAGGCTCTTCACAAGGACCCTGGCTCTTCCCAAACTGCAGAGCTTTTGCAGGTGCAGAGCCATCATGGTCCCCCCCAAATTCCCTCCCCAGCCAATGTACTCCCCCCACTCCTGCTCCCAGCACAGGACCATTCCTCCTTTCCAGGGCAGGCACACCCCATTTCCAAGTGGGGGTTTTCCCTTTAAAACCCATTCTTCTTTGCCAACAAGACAGAGCATCCTTAGCCCTACACCCCTACCCACCTCACTACCAGGAGAAGATCCCAGCCTCAAAGATTTTTTCCATCAGATCCCAGAGAGCTGAAAGTTTCTGGGTTGGATGTGTGCAGCACATCCTTTATGTCCCTGGCTAAGTGACATGCCCAGGGATGAAGAGACAGAGATGRAACAGGCAGAAATGGGACATGGAGAAGGGTGAATGGCTTTAAACTGAAAAACAGAAGGTTTAGATGAGATTTCTTCTGCTGGGAAGAATTTGTTCCCAGTGAGTGTGGTGAGGCATCAGCACAGGTGAGCAGCTGTGGCTGTCCCATCCCTGGAATTGTCCAAGGCCAGGCTGGACAGGGCTTGTAACAACCTGGGATAGTGGAAGATGTCCCTGCCCATGACAGGGGGTGGAATGAGATGAGCTTTAAGTTCCCTTTCAATCCAAACCAAGCTGTGATTCCAYGATCTCCCCATCCAGCATCCTGACCCATCAAATCCTGCCATGCATCATGCTGACCTCARACCCAGCTGCAATGGGCTTCCAGTTCCCCCATCCAACAATCTGTGCACATAAGGGGGTTGGGGTGTGTGCACGGAGGAGTTTTAATTAGCTAATAATCTTTAATAGGGTTTAATCGCCTTGTTATAAAAGGTAATTACAGCAATACATCAATTAGAGCTGTAAAATTAATAGATTTACCAGTTGTATTTATTGAGGAGCTGCGACTGGCAGCCAGGGCAGYGTTGGTGGTTCTGTTCTGATATCCAGCAGTGGGAAGGAGAGTGGCTGCCAAGCCTCCACCCAGGACAAACYAGCACCAGCAAACTGCCCCATGACCAGCAGCCAGGCAGAGCAGATGGACAGACAGACAGACAGGCCAAAGGGGAAGATGAGGCTCTGCAGGCTCAGGCTCACAGGGGACATTGGAACGAGTCAYCTGTGCTCTGCTGGGGATKTTAAGATGGGAGCAGCTCTGTCTGYGGGTGCTGGGGCAGATCCACATCCTCCCACATTTCCAGGCATCACCTTCAGGAGAAAAACCATCCCTATAATCCAGTGTGTGAATCTTTCTCTAGAAGACCTGTGGGTGCAGGGATCATGGGTGCAGTAGCAGAGACAGAAGCACACCCAGAGTGCCAGGCAGAGGGGAGTGTGCTCTGGGGTGTGCAGCCTGCTCCAAACTCTTCCAGACTCTCCAAAACCCTGAGTCTGGGTGCTGCTGTTGAGCTGCCAAGTGGCAAGGGGTGACCCAATGGAAAATGCATCTCATGGCTTCCCACAAGGGGAGGGCTTTAAAGAGAAAGCTGTTCTGGTGCTGTGKTGGCTCTGCAATTCATGGGTTAAATTCATGGGGGATCAGGGATGAGCTGCTGAGCCCTCCTGCCCCTTTTCCAGCTTTGCTGATCCTTCTATGGAGCAGGATCAGCCCATTTTCCATAGAGTCAGTCAACCGCACAAACATCTGCTCGAAATATCCCATTTCACTAGAAGAAGAAGTGAATTTTGGAATATAAGATCCCAAACAAGCCMGTTTCCCGCTCCCACAGCCCCCAGCGCTGCGGGGTTGGGTCACGCTCACATTCTCATGACCAGTTCTCCCAAAGCAGCGAGCCTGGTGCCCTCAGGAAAAGCCAAAAGACAATGGGCTGGCACCAGACCAGGCCAGCATGGGGCAGAGAGAAGGGGGGTCACACGCACACTGGGATGTGCCCCGTTAAATGCCACTTTAGAACATCCCCCAAACCCCTGGCTCACCACCATCAATCCTGAGTGGGGATTCAAAGGAGTTAAAAAAATCCCTTTGCGTTTGCCCGGACACCTGGGGCAAATTAGRGGAAACCTCAGCAGAGCTGGAAATTAATCTTTGCTTCCCACATTGCAAYAGCAGAGTCATCTCAGCCACGGAGAGAGATGGGGATCTCCAGCAGCGGGTGCTSCCCTGGAGGCAGAGAAGGGACTGGGGGCTTCACAAATAAACCAGCAGAACCACAAATAAACCACCAAACCTGGTGATTGCTGCTCTCAGGGTGCACCAGAAAAGGTCTAAAGCAGCGATGTCCCTTTGAAAATTGCCAGGCAGGGATAGGATGTCCCTTGGGATCTTTGCAGGCAGGGATGCGCTGCTCAAAGCAGGGGCTGGGAATGCCTCTGGAGCTCCCCTAAAACATCCCTCTGCAGCCCGTGGCATGGCCGGGGATGCCAGGATGGGGCTGTGGAGGTTTTYCTGCTGCAGGTCCAGCAGCCAGCASCGGGACAATGTGTGGCTCTGCCTGCTCTCACCCCAGCCAGAGGAATCCCCGGCTCAGCAGGGCGGCAGCTCACCCATTTCCTTGCAGGCAGTGGAGGTGCCGAGGGGATGTTTGTGCAGAACGGAGCTGGAGAGGATCCAGGCTGTTTGCAGGGCTCAGCCCTCCCCAGTGCCATGGGGATAAAAAGCCATCGTGCCTCTCACCACAGCATCACCAGGATGCCAGCCCAGCCCCAAATGTGGCCTGAGGGCCCAAGTCCCAGGGCTGGCAGGGCTCCCAGTGCCTTCACTCTATCCCGGGGAAGCCCCATGACACCTTCTGATGTCGAAACGACAGCTCTGGGCTGCTGCTGCTCCTGTGCTAAAACATCCACCTGCTCAAGGGTCTGCCCTGCTTGGGGTTTTAAATATCCCACAGGAAAAATAATCACACCTCTAGAGAGACATCTCCCAATTCTACACTTTGCCCCCGTGCACAATGTCCAGTGCTGTCCCTGCAGGGATTAAACCTCACTTTTGACTGGGGGMTGTGGTGGGGAGCAGCCTCCCTCACTCCTGCACCCTGGGGAAGGGATGGGATGAGATCCCTGGAGCCCTACACTGGCTCTGCAGATATTCACATCTCTTTTCACTGCTTTTAAAAGGCAGAAAGGGGGAGAGGCCTTGGCATGTCCGTCCTGGGATCCTCGGGGCAGAGGGGACAGTGCAGACACAGCAGCTTTGATGCTGCTCCAATTCCTCAGGTGGTGCCACCTCCTCTCTCCTTGGCAGCTCCCCAGGGAAGGGGTTGTGTCTCCAGATGTCTGTGACCACCTGGGAGCTGAGCAGATGGACTATTCCACACTGGCAGAAGGAAATCAAGCCCCAGGAAATGCAACTACCAGCATCTTGAGTTTCTTCTTATGCCAGAGATGTTTTAAAGCTYGTTGCTCCTCCAAACCCAATCTCATCCCTGTTTGTGCTTTGGCCACCCTGGATCTGACAGCAACRAACACCTCAGTGTCAGCACACTGAAACATCCCAGACATTTTCTCATATAAAAGATGGTTTAGTTTGTTCCAGCTCAGGGTGACAGGGACAKGGAAGTGTCCATTCTTTCATTCTTTCCTGCTAAATCTGCCACCTTTGCTGCTGTGGGGCAGCAATATTAACAAGCTCAGAAAGCAGGATTCCATGAGAAAAACCGTAGAATTATGGAATATCCTGAGTTGGAAGGGACCCATAAGGATCATGAGTCCAACTCCTGGCCCTGCACAGACCCCAACACCCCCACCCTGTGCCTGGGAGCGCTGTCCAAACG